CCGAGGCATGGCTTGATGTAAGGACATTTGGGCAAACAACCTTTCCAAATGTTTTCTATCCTTTGAAAGCACCGCAAGGGGCCATCTGAAGTGGGACCTTGATTTTGGAAAGGGGAAAAGATGCACAACATGACCATCTTTGCGCTCATTACTTTTTCAAAACCTCTCCTATGTCAATTTCTCCTCAATCAGACGATGAATAGCTAAAAGCCACTTTTTTTGGCCTACTGTATTTCTCTCCTGCCCCAGCGGGGGAGCTTTCCACCCAGGCCTCTCTGTGAGACAGAGACCCTGCGGGGCTGCCCTCCGGGCTCTCACTCGCGAGGCCTGTTGTTAGGCTCGGTGCTTCGATGTCATTTCTCACCAAGTTGACTGACAACGAGACGTTTGATGTTTTGATCTTGATTGGTTGAGAGTGAGGAGAGATTGTATAGTTGATTCTTCTAAGGTGTGGCAGTGAGTGTCTTTGATTGTTGTTGATCGGTCGGAAGAATGGAGAAGAATGAAGAATAGTCGACTGGTCAAAAGGAGCTCAATTTATAGATGAGAAACCAGATGGGATAGGGTTTGAGATCGTGAGAGATATGATTTGAGATGATGATGAATTAGGTTTGCCTGTCAGATGCGGATATGGTTGGCGCAGTATGACAGCGCCGTGAACTTGACTAGCGCAGTCTGATAGGTGTCACAGTACGTCTGTCGAGTTTCAACATAAACAGGGACCCAAGTAAAAAAAAACGATCTCTATTGTAGCCACAGGGTAGTCCCACTCAATTATTTTAACACAATGACCCGAGTTTCCATTGAGGCTTGAGTGGAGCTTTCTTCATGTCAACTGGTAGCAGTTGCCTAACTTTTTCTTGTAGTGACAGGCTCCTATGACATGATAGATGTATGTGGCGCTGTAAAGCCATTAAAAAACAACAATTCACAGGTTCTAACATTTTTTATGACTTCATTCAATCTCAGTCCAAAATCTTTGATGGTAGATGATGAAGTTGTGTGTACACTCTCAACGGCCGAGAGTGTTTCTCTCGGCCGCTGAGGGTGTGCCATCAGCGGCCGGGAGGAATCCTCCCGGCCGACGCGGGCTCTTTTTAGTTAGCG